GTCCCTGGTCAGTCTGAAGATCTGGCTATGCGAGAATGTCGTTTCAAACCTGTGTGACTTATTTTTCTGTAAAACACAAAAAAAGATATTTTGAAGAAACTTTATTGTCCATATAATGATAGTCAGTGGGGTCCAAAAAAAATGCTGGACCCCAATGACGTCATTGACTTTTATTGTATGGCACTGCTTTAGAAATGAAAAAAGTGCAGTGTTGGTGTGTCATCTTGCTCCCGGTCACTGTGATTTTGCCAAGTATAAGGCACGTTCCTGGATCAACATCTTTTGTTGATCCTGGATCCTGGAACATTACTGTCCAAAAATATAGACTTAACCCAATCCCTACCCCTAAACCTAACCCTACCCATAATGTATTCCTAAAATTATAGTGAAATGATAGCTGATTAATAAGGGTGTAGAAGCACCTAACCCTGATTGTAAGCCTAAAACAGATATTGCCTGAAAAGTTATCCCTCAATTCTGATTGGTTGATTGGAATGTTGTTCCAGGATCAACAAGGATGTTGATCCAGGAACATGTTGTACTTGGTGAAATCACGGTCACCCTTGGTCCCTCCCACTGCATGAAACAAATGCAGGCTAAGCATTTTACGCTTACAGGGATTTGACTGCAGCTATGCTCATCCCTGACCCTATTGCTCGTATGATAATACCACCGAAGTGAAAGAAAAGGAGAGAATACACATGGGTGCTATTTTTTGGTATAGAGAACCTTTCGCATGTTTAGACAGGAAGTCTTTTTATTTTGTCATACATTGAATTATTATTTTTCATGGCATCTGTTAACCAAGAATGTGCATGTGTGTAATAGCCTGAGGGGTTTCTTCAAAGACACCGCAGCACATTTACAGAAGCATAATTTCTGTAAATTTTATAATTGTCTATCTCTCCACCAGGTTCATTATCCAGATGTGGAGAGAGTTGAGTGGCTAAATAAGGTGAGAGAATTATTAGACAATAATTGCCTGTTCCTTAATAATTTCTAAGTAATCATAATCCAGCACTCTCGTATACATGCATGTGTCTGCAGTCAATATTCTGGAATCTGATACTCTCTCGCTCT